GGGGGGGCATCAGTACCAAACCACCTGTTCTTCTGTAGTGTCCGTCATAACACCTCTGAGGCTCCACTGTCACAAGTGCCGACTGGTCACAGAAAGTTGGAGTTTTGTCTAGCCCACTGGCCACTTGTGTGGGCCCTGAGCCTCACGTCTCATGTACATCTTTCTCTTCAGCGTTCTTTGCCATTTCTAGAACTGTCCTTGGTTTTTCCTTAGCTCATAGGTCATAGACACAGAAATATTATATAGTATTTACGGCATCCGCATCAGATGGCTTTGCATCCTGGAAAACATTTAACAATAACTCCGCGTTTGAAGCACCGCGCATGTGTAACATGGCTCTATAAACGAATAAACGCATACTCTTGTTAAAGCTTTTCAACGCCTCTGGCTCTCATTTGTTCCTCTGCCCTCTGGGCACGCCCAGGTTCTAGCACCCCCCCTTCAACCGGGAGTTGCTCCTGGGCCTTGATGGGTGGAAACTCCCCAGGTGATGCTGCTGCCTCCTGAACGCAGCTCAGCCAAACGCAGCTTCCTGCACTTGGGTCACATACCCAGGGTCGGCCATGGGGGTCCACGGTCTGAGAGAAGAGCTTCGCACCTGGGATGAGATGAAGCATCCGAGAAGCTGAGGCCAGCCACCTCGTGGATGGCCACCACCCACCCCTTCTCTGTGCAGGCGACGGTGGCTGTGTTGCAGCTGTGGCTTCCCTGGGCTGCTGGGAGACAGGCCATGCTGGACAGCCTGCAACGGGAGTGCTGTGCATCTGCTGGAAAGGTTTTAGAGTCATGTCCCATCAAAGGCTGATGTTTTAGAAACATTCCCAGGCCTCCTGAGGCACTTCTGAACAGGCTTCTCCTAGCATCCAGCCCAGGGATCCTCCGGCAGCAGGGTGCGGCTGGCCACGAGGGTGCCGTGCACCACGTGCAGCCTGGACCCCCAGAGGAGAAATGGCATTCTTAAGCTTCCCACACCTCAATGCCCTGAGGCCATCAGGGCTGACTGCTCTCAGGACTGGAGAGCACTGGGTTAGCCACACAGTGGGTCTGGAAAGGCTTGGAGCCACTTCTTTGTTCTTCCTGTTCATGGAGGGCCTGTGTGCACTGGACCAGAAAAGTGTACCCTCTGGACAGGAAGAGCAAAAGAAGAGGGGTGTGGTGGTATGTCTCCATGGGGCAGAGACCTGCTCACTACCAACCTCCAGCACCCCCACTCCCATCTAGGGACAGAGCCTCACAGCCTCCAAGGAAGATCTAGTGGGGACCAACGACATTGTGACAGTAGAGGCAGGTGTCGGGAGGGGTGTATCAGGACCCAGGTAGAAGCAGAGGCTGGATATAGAGCGGTTTTAGTATGTCTAGCCAGCAGGAGGGCTGTGGGGAGAGGTCGCTGTACCTCTGAGCTGTATCTGTGCTGCTCAAAATCTTGTCAAGGAGGTAGTACAGGCCCCTCCCACCATCGCGTTTCCAGTGGTCCTGCTGCAGCTCCTCTCCTGCGCCCTCCCTGCTGTCAGCTGCAGATCCCACCCCTGCTACAGCCGGAGCTTGTTCCTTGGCTTCCTTGTGGCCGGTGACCCCAGCACTTCAGCTACACTTGCTTCTTGATGTAGTCTTCCCTCCTGGCTTCCAGCCATCCCCTCTACTGCCCCCAAAACACACACACACACACACACCCGTTGTTAAGGGTGGGTCTAAGCAATGTTTCCCAAGATGGATACAGCCCCTGGGGGTGCTGGGCCAATCCAGGGAGGTGGCCTGCAGAAGCAGAGACATTATCCAGGGTGGGGGGACGACAGGACAAGCTTTCTTTAACTGCCAGCGGGGCGCTAAGTCACTTTTCCTCTGAAAAAGGTGGCAGTAGGCCAAGTAAGTTTGGGGACCTGTTTGGTCTAGGGGGCTGTATGCAAGACTGAGTAGATGTCCTTATGGGGGTTAGTGCAGAAGTGGCCAGTCTTGGGCTCTTGGATGGTTTTCCAAGAAATAACGCACCATCAGCTGAGGAAAAACAGCAGAGAGCCCCAATGAAGCCCAAATTCACTGCGACCCTCCAGGACTGGGTAGAACTCTCAGTGGGTTTCTGGGCTGTCACTCCACGGGAGTGGAAGTCCTCTTTCTGCTCACTACATTCCTGGCGCGCTCGCTTTCCAGCCCTTTCTGCATGAAGAAATCGGGGAAGGAGTGTGCACCAGAAAGTGGCCAGCCTGGACGAACTGACAAGATCAGGACCAAGTAAAATGGCAGGCACCAGCCTAGGCTGCGTTCAGGGGCGTGGCTTCCTGCGAGGCTTGGACCTCCCTGGGCAGACCCCTGGAAACCCTGATCACTCAAGATGGGGGTGCGGGGACTGGAGAAGGGAAGGAAGTTTGGGGGAGGGTTTCCTATTTCCTCCGGTTTGTATGGTGGTTTTTTTAACCAGTCATGTATTCCTTTTGCTAAATGTTACACATTCAATTTAAGGAAAAATGATGTAAAATAAAACCATTAAGAGCATGCACAGGGGGTGCGGGGGGGAAAGAAAATGCACAAGGGACACATCTAACACCAGCCCTGGGGCGGGACCTGTGTGTGGTGGGGGAAGGGGGAAACACTTCACTCCCTATTGCAGTGTTAGCTCCCGATTCCAAGTCACCAAGTGGGATGTGATGAGACCACCACCGCAAACCCTGCCCCCATCACTCGGTCACCTACTTCTGCTTGTTATTCTCCCCTGAGGACGTGCACCTAGTGGGCAAGCAGCTGCATGTTCCACCTGGAGGCCGCCAGCCCGCCAGCCCCAGAATACTTTTGCTCCAGTGCATCCCAGGGAAGGGTCACATGGGGCCTTTGAGGTGGGGAGGGGCTGGGGTGTTCTGAGGGGCCCAGGGTAGAGGGGCTGCTGTCCTACCTGGAAGGTGGACTGTCTCTACCCAGTGGGGAGATGGGGCCCTGGTCACCTAAGGGCTAGCAGTGCAGCTGACCGCTGATGTTTTGACCACTTCTTCATGCCATGCAAGGTTCAGTAATGGGGCAGGCCTGCCCATAGCCACCCAGCATGTGACAGGAGCCTGGTCATTGGGGTCCCACTCATGGGCCCACCCCCAGGGTCTTGGGGGAAGTGAACCCTCAGGGCTCTGCTCTGGCAGACCTGCTGCCTGAGCCCCCAGGGAGAGCAAACAGGCCGTGACACCCACCAGGGATCACCAGCTAGTCTCTTCGTGGTCTCCTGCCCCTAGAAACCGAGCCCACTGCACAGGGCTGGGCTTCAGTGGGGTGTGAAGGCTGGGGCCCCCTCCTGGAACAAAGCTGGGGACACTCACCTGTGGTAGATTTGGGGGCAGCAGCAACAGAGGCACTCAGGGTGCCCAGGGCTGCAGGGTTAGGGCACCCCTGTTGGCAAATGAGATATCCTGCAGGAAGCCCTCACTAACCTCAGGCTGGTCTAATACAGGCAGCAGCCAGATGCCTCACCTTGGCCCAGATGGTCAACAGAACCTGAGTGCACACTGAAGCCCTCTGTGGCAGTTATAGAATGTCAACTTGAGTGACGGGGTGGAGTCTAGCCTGTCAATCATGTCATAGCCAATGAGGCCTCTGTGTGGGCATGACTTCTCCTGAGGATTCTGGGAACTTCTATCTTCCTCCCTGGAGGACACACACAGCTTCACATTCCTGTTGACAAGCCTGATGGAGCCAGAACCCTGGAGCTGGAGAAGCCACGTGGAGACCTACGCCTGCGCTGAGATGTTGCCACAGGCTTTTCACCCACTGGCCTGTGATCTTTCTGCATTCGGCATCATTGAATGTGTTGCCTTTAGTCTGAAGATGAATTTATAGACTGGTATCAGATATATGGGCTAATATCAGACTTAAGGACTTGATCTGGACTGGGATGTTTTCTCAATATACAATTGCTCTTTGATATAAAGGTCTCTCTTACACATACACGAGTGTCAGTGAATTTGTTTCCCTAGTCTACTCGGACTAACCCTCCAACCAGTGAGGAGGACTGTGCTGGACCCCATCTGGCCGTACCTTCCCAGCAGCTGGTGGGCATTCCCCAAGAGCTTGTCCTTCAAGCTCGCGCCCACCCCACCTACCCGTAGTTGTGCAGGGACCCAGGACTCTGGAGGGAGCGCCCCACATTCTGATGGCTGACGTCCACAAGTCCACCTCCGAGGCTTCCTTCTGGGAGGGCTTGTAGCTCCAGCTTTTTGGTTACAGCTGAACTCTTAACCCTTGGCACACCAAGATCCCCTTGCTGACCTCTGAGCCCTGACCGAATGGCGGGGGTTGAGGTCACACACCATCTCCGTGGTCCTCCAAGCCCATTTGTAACCACTTGGCAGATGAGGAATATGAGTCTCTTACGCCAGCGCTGTAGCTGGGTAAGCATGCCACCCCACCTCCCACAAACCACCCAAGACCAGCCCACTTAGAATAGACAGACCAGGCTTCATTCCCTCTGCAGTTTATGTACAAATGTAAGAATATGATGTGCAGGGCCGGACCTCCATCTAGGCGGAGTGATCCGCTTTCTGGAAGGTCGGCTGGAGGGGCATCCACTGGGTGTACCAATCGCCCCTCTCTTCCCATCCCACGGCCTCAGCGCCAATGCCCTGCAGGGGGCCTCTGCACTCCGGATGGCTCCCACTGCATGCCCACGGTCCACGGGAAATGGCTGGGGAGGGAGGCCCTGAACTTTGTCTTCAGTTATCCCGGCCCTGGGTGGTGTGTCCCTTACGGCTCCCCATCTGAGCACCTTGGGCCAGACTCAAGGGCAGATACCCTGAGCCCAGGACACAGGGATTTCCTCGAGGCACAGCCCAGGAAGCTCTCCCCACCCCACACAGGCCTCTGGTTGTACAGCTCCCCACTCCCCCTACCTCTGACCCATTCACAACTGGAAACAGCGTTCCCAGATCTGCAGGTGGACACTAGAACCAGGCCACTCACCGGCAGGGGAGGCGTCTGGGGACCATCTCCTGGGGAGGGCTGCTGGGGGCCAGACGGCCGGTGGGTGCGGTTAGAGTGTGTGCGGGGCTTCCCGAACCCTACCCTCCCCACCCCACCCCTCTAGCAGGCACCAGGCTTCACCTCCGCCCTTGGCCACTGCACCAGCGGGTGGGGGGTGTGGGCACCCCCATTTGGGAACAGAGGAAACGGAGGCCCAGTTGGTGCGCTGAATTCTGTCTGGGCTGGGCTGTGCACATGGGTGAGCCCCTATCACAGGCTGGATGGCTGGCTCAGGGTCGGTCCGGCAGGCGCGTCGGGCCGCACCTCGTCGCCCCGCGCGTAGCTGAGTACCACAGTGACCGTGGCGAAGGTGGCGGCGTTGACCGGGAAGGCGCGCAGCAGCGTGGAGGTCAGCCCCCGCGTGAAGACGCGCCAGCCCTCGGCCTTGTAGCTCTGGCGCACACAGTCGACGATGCCCCGGTAGCGCGGCGCACCCCGTAGCCCGTCGGCCTGCAGCCTCGACTTGACCACGTCCACAGGGTAGGTGGAGAGCCAGGACGTGATGCCCGACGTGCCGCCGGCCAGCAGCAGCTTGGGCACCAGCAGGCGGTCGTCCGGCTCGCAGCCCAGGGCGCGTGTCAGCACGTCGTAGGTGAGGAAGTAGACGCCGAAGCTGGGCGTCTCGCGCAGCAGCGTGGACAGCATGCCGCGGTTGATGCCGCGCAGGCCCTCGCGCCGGTAGATCTGGCCCAGGCAGTCCAGTGAGCCGCTGTAGGTGCGCGCCTGGCCCGCGTCCTGCAGCTGCAGCCGCGTCTTGGCCAGCTCCATGGGGCAGCAGATGACGCACTGGATGGTGCCTGCCGCCGCGCCAGCCAGGAACTGGTTCGTGGGCGTGTCTCGGCCCAGGGCGCGCAGCGTGTTGCCCTGGACGCCGAACACGAGCGCGTTAATGAAGGTGAGTCCCATGAGGGGCGAGCCCAGGCCCTTGTACAGGCCCAGCACCTGTGGGCAGGAGATGTTGCCAGTCAGGGTGGCTGGAGGCCTGGGGCACCCAGCCCCTCCTCCTTGCACCCTCCTCATGGGGACTGGCAGTCCCAGTGCCCTCCTGGCTGAAAAAGAACTCCTCACCCACTTCGAGGGCTAGGTGCCCTGTGGGTTAGGCATTGGGCTGCTAAGTGTAAGGTTGGTGGTTCAAACCCATTGGCTGCTCCAAGGAGAAGGAGAAGGCTGTCTGGATGGACATCCCCAGAAACCCTATGGAGGATTGCTATGAGTGGAACCAACCCCGGAGCTAGCCTGCCTGACCCCTGCCCACCTCACTCCCCACCCCCAGGCCACTCACGCTCTCCTGGCGGATGATCGACTGGAAGCAGTGCACCGTCCCCCGGTACTGGGGTTTGTCCCCACTCTGCACCTGCAGTCGGACCTGGAAGGGGAGGGCTGGTGAGCAATGACCTTGGG